CACATCCACCCCCTGATCTGCCCCTCACCACCAAGGGCACCCCAGGACCCCCATGTCCCCCCACTGAGGGGCAACCCAGCACCTTCCATCTCCCTACACACACAGGCACCCTGATAGCCCCCAATGCTCAGGGTGACCTGAAATCTCTCCTCAAGCCTACAGGCACCCCAATACCCCCATTCTTCCCCATGCCTGTGGACAGCCCAACACAATCAGTCTCCCTCCACACCCATGGACACCCCAGTGCCCCCTATCTCTTCCCACAGCCATGACCACCCTGGTACTCCCCAAGTCTCACATTCTTACAAGGACTCCCAACACCTCTGACCTCTCCCCATTCCCACAGCCACCCCAATTGTCCCACATGCCCTCAGAAGCCCTGTTTCTCCCTATCTCCCACTCCACTGCCTCCCTGTGCAAGATGTTCACCCCAAATCCCCACTGTCCCACAAGCTCTTCCCAGGGCCCTGATCAACATCCGGACCGCGGTGCAGACGGTGCTGGCAGGGACAACAGTGGAGCTGGAGTGCCTGGGCCTGGGGGAGCCCCGTCCCCACGTCACCTGGAGCAAAGTGGGGGGCCGCATCCGCCCCGGGGTGCTGATCCGTGCTGGCACCCTCACCATGGAGCAGGTGGAGCGGGCGGACGCGGGGCAGTACCGCTGCACCGCCACCAACGCCGTGGGCACCGTCCAGTCCCACGTCATCCTCCACGTGCAAGGTGAGCAGGGGGACGCAGAGGTGGGGACACACAGCGTGTCCCTGCAGGTTGGTGACACCTCCGTGTGTCCCCAGCCGCTCCTCAAATCGCCGGGCAGCCAGAGGTGAAGGAGGTGTCCCTTGGATCAGCGGCGGTTTTGCCGTGCTTGGCATCTGGCTTCCCAGTGCCAGAGATCACCTGGAGCAAGGTACGGTGGAGGGGTGGGTGTGGCAGGGGTTGTGGGGGCTGTTTGTGGGTGCTGAACCCCTCTGTTGTGCCACAGCTGGATGGGGAGCTGCCAGCAGGTGCCAGGGTGCAGGGAAACGTGCTGACACTGCCAGCCGTGCGCCCCGAGGACGCCGGCGTCTACACCTGCGTGGCTGCCAACCACCGTGGCCAGCAGACAGCCTACTACGTGCTGAAGGTCCAAGGTGAGGACAGACAGAGGGATGGATGGATGGATGGATGATGGATGGATGTTGGATGGATGATGGATGGTTGGATGGATGGATGGATGGATGATGGCTGGATGGATGGATGGATGGATGATGGATGGGGGCACCCCTCCTTACCCTCCCATCCCTGCAGAGCACGTGGTCCCCTATTTCGGGCAGTCGCCCCGCTCCTTCCTCCCCCTGCCCACCATCAAGGATGCCTACAAGAGGTTTGAGATCCTCATCACCTTCCGACCTGATGCTGCTGATGGTGAGCCTGTGTGCCCCAAGTGTCCTCTGTGTCCACCTTCCTGTCCCCTCCATCATTTCCCCCTCCCTTCCCTGCCTTCATCCTCCCCTCCTCTCATGCTCCACTTGCCCTCCTTATCTCCCCCATTCTCCATTCATCTGAGACCCTCCAGTTTATGGGGGATTTCTCCTCCATTCTGGGAGGATTTCGGGGTCCCCTAGGATGTCTCCCCCATCTCAGGATGTCCCATCTGATCCCCTGCCACCCCTCAGGTCTTCTCCTGTACAACGGGCAACGGAAAAACAGCGGCGCCGACTTCATCTCCTTCGGGTTGGTGGGTGGACGCCCCGAATTCAGGTGAGACCTATGAGAGGGTGTAGGGGAGAGGTGGGAGATGGGTGCCAGCATGCACCCACACCCCTTGTACCCTCATAAAACCAGGTTTGATGCTGGTTCGGGCATGGCCACCATCCGGCACCCCACGGCGCTGCGGCTGGGCGAGTACCACACGGTGCGGCTGCTCCGCAACCTCACCTGGGGCTCGCTGGGCCTGGACGGGCACCCGGCTGTCAATGGCACCTCCCAGGTACCACTTTGGGCTGTGGGGCGGGGGTCAGGGGGCTGGAGCTGGTGCCCACCCTCGTGTGCCTGCAGGGGAAGTTCCAAGGGCTGGATCTGAACGAGGAGCTGTACCTGGGCGGGTACCCCGACATCGGCGCTGTGGCAAAGACGGGGCTCAGCCGGGGTTTCATGGGTGAGTGAGGGGTTTTGGGGGGCACCAGGGTGAGGGGGTGCTGGGCATCATGTGACAGTTCTGCCCATCTCCACCACCCCACAGGCTGTGTGCGCCAGCTCCGCATCCAAGGAGAAGACGTGGCCTTTGGGGACATGGACCTGCAGGCACACGGTGTCACCAACTGTCCCACCTGCCAGGACCGGCCGTGCCAGGTGAGTTTGGAGGGGAGGAGGTGATGCCCACCCATCCCTGGCCATGCTGACACCCGTGTCACCCCTCACCCAGAACGGCGGCGTGTGCCAGGACGATGAGAGTGGCACCTACGTCTGTCGATGTCCCCACGGTTTCACTGGCAGCAACTGCGAGTACTCACAGGCTCTGCACTGTCACCCGGGTAGGTGACACCACTCCCTCCATGGGGACATCATCCCAGGGTCCCTTCAGGATGGGTGCTCATGGCTTCTCACCCCACAGAGGCGTGTGGGCCTGATGCCACCTGCGTCAACAGGCCGGATGGGCAGGGTTACACCTGCCGCTGCCACCTGGGCAAGACTGGGGAGAGGTGCACCGAGGGTGAGAGACACAGGGACACAGCTGGGACCATCCTGGGACATGGGGACAGGGTGGAGACCACCTAGGGAAATGGGGACATGGCTGGGACCACCCTGGCGACATGGGGATGGCGTGGGGCTGGGTACCACCTTGGGGACACTGGCAAGAGGTAAGGACCAGCCAGGAAAATGGGTTGGATGGGAATGGAGGCTGGGGTCCCATCCTGGGGATGGAGGTTGAGTCTCACCATGGGGTTGGACGTTGGGCCCTA